CCTTTGAGTCGACACTGCCCTATTATTTGCCCATGTGCTGAGGTCATAGAATTCGTTTTGACTTCAGTAATATTAACATTCAGTATTGGATTAGCAAATGGCAATGGTTCATTGATGTAGCTCGCAGCCTGGTCTCCAATTTGAGCGAGCGCGAGGATCGATACTTTAGCCTACTCTGTTGTTGAATTTCGAATTTTGACGTTACTTTAAAACCATGCAGGATGGTTGGGCTTTTTGCCTTAACTATGTCTGGCTGACACTCCCACTGTCTCTGCCGCCTGCACGGGTGACATGTGCCCGTTCATCAGGCCTTATCTTTCCTTGAAGCAAGGTTGCAAATTCTGCCATCCTAGCCCTCCTCCAGTTCATTACTTAACAACACCTGGTGTTTTGCAGTTTGCTGCGCTTTTGGTGTGTTTCATTCATAAAAAAAAACAAGTAAAAAGATAATATATAAAAATCATCAAATATTATTAATCTCAATTTTGGAAGAAGGGTTAGTATACAACAGCCCCCCATAGGGAGCCTCTGTAGGAGCTCCTGGAGTGCCCTCTCCACGCGGGCCATGCGGTCCTCCATGGGGTCCTCCAGGCGATCCGGGCCCCCTGCTGCTGCTTCTGATAGCAGGCCCCCTTGTTGCCCGGGATGGGAAGGATCCCCGGCCCCTGCTTCCTCCTCCCTTGGCTCTTTCCCGCGGGGATTTTTCTTTGTAGCCATGAGATCCCACCGCTGCCACCAGATGTAAAGTAGGAGCCGACACCAGATTGCAGGGGTCTCGTCCTTTATTCCTTTCCTTCCATCCACACCTGTCCCCCAGCCGTCCCAATATCGTTCCCGCCAAAGGCCCCTTCTTCCCGCCCGTTCTCTCCTTATATCTCCTCGATCACCCCTCCCACTAACCCATCTATTGGTGGGAATCCTTCCCCTGACACCCCTACAGATGTAAAAATGGAGCCCATAGCCTCAGTGACATGTTGTATGTGTCTTGCTTTCTGGTGGGAATTAGACCAGAAAAGGACAGAAAGGCTGCCTTCCTATTCAAACTGAATACCGTTCAGCCGGCAGGACTGAATGAAAGCCTGACCTTCATTTAACACATGGTATTATTATTGAGTGCGAGATTAATTGCATCCCTCTATGTAATCCAACGTGTGCTTCAATTGGTGAAACCTCCGATTGAAGCACACATTTGTTTACATTACAATTAATTTACCAGTGAAAGTGGACAGCAAAAGCTAAAAAGATAACCGTTTTTAAATTGTCTCCCATAAATTCCTCTACCGCGATCCATATTTGGGTTTGGATTAGTTTATGAAAACATACATTAAACCAAATGACACTAATGATAAGAATTTGGCATGAAACTACACATATCTATCATTGTATTCGCTATGAAAACCGACGTTTTTATTATTACACGCTTTTATTTAACTCACTCCGTCTGTTGTATCCTCAAAAAAGAAATAATGTAACTCAATTTTTACCCACTTCCCAATGTGCTATCGACGGCAAACTTGAAATACCTGTCATACTGATGACAATACTATATTCTATCATAAAAATCCAAAACATATTTTTAAACATTTTACACGCCGAGGGGCGGGGGAGGTGGAAGGAGGGGAGGGGCGAAGGGGGCAGGAGGAGGGGCAGCACGGACTGTACATTTCATTAAAGCGTGTTTTTAAAAAAAATATTTTTAAATAACTTATTAGTTCCTGCACCCTGCTTACAAGGTTCAGGAATTTGTAACCTTTAAAAGTGCCTTTGATCCTAACATTTATTGAGAGGGACTGTAATCCTATTGAAATAAAAATTTTGCTCAGGAATGCAACATTCAGAGCTTTATGCTAAATGTTGTATTGACCTTAATGCAATATAGTTACTCACAATGCAATGTTTCATTACCATTTTTAATGTACTCTGAATGCAAACTAGTTTAATTAGTAATACACGTTTGGTTATTGAAGGTTTTGACTGTTACTCAGTAGCTGCTAATAGGTTACTATACGTATGCAAAATTACAAACTGTTCGGGATTTTTTTTAGTCTCATCAGACCCCATATATAAAAGACAGTCTCCAACTTTTATCGACTCTATCTCTCTAGTCTATCTGCTATGCAGAATGATCATTGCCAAAAACGGTGCCTATTGTGTTTGTTTTCCTTTAAAGAAGTGTGAGAAGGCAATAGACCAACATAGAAAGCTGTTTCGTAGCATGTAAGATCGCACGTCATTCTGTTTTAATATTTTTACTGTGCTAACAGCATGCCAACAAAGTATCAACTGTACAGAAAGTAATGGAAGGTGTCAGTACACTGGCGAGGAATGCAGAGGCACATACGTTGAGAATCAGTGCCCTGGCCCAGGTCACTGTCAGTGCTGCAGACGTGAGTATCTAAAAAAAAAAATCTGTATTCATTTAGACACCACACTAAATTAAATGAGCAGCTAATAGTTTGGTCTGAAATGATAAGAGTGAATAATCAATTGTATGTAACACATTTATCAATATATGCAATGTAAATTAGAAAACAGGTACAGTATAAGATGTCTTTCACACCAGGGTAATGCCGAGCGCCGAGTGTCACACAGACCACCACCGCCTTATCCGCTGAAAACTCAAACTCAGCTTCCACTTTAAGCCCAAACCAAAGAAAGGTAGCGCCCCGAGGAAGAAGCTCAAAGTCTGCAGCCTTCAGTCTGCCGCGTTCAAAGCAGTTTTCCAAAAAAGCCTACGATCTAGGCTAGAGGAACCGAGCTGCCTAGCAAACTCGCCTCCGGTTCCTGAAGTGCTGCGGGACCGCATAAAAACTGCTGTTCTGCAAACATCTGAAGATACCCTCGGATTCTCCACGAAGAAAAACAGAGATTGGTTCGATGAGAACAACTTAGAAGTCCAGGAGCTGCTGTCAAAGAAGAGATCAGCACACCAGGCCCACCTGGCCCAACCATCTTGCCCGCATAAAAAAGCAGCCTTCCGCCTAGAATGCAGCAACCTCCAGCGCAAGCTTCGAGAGATTCAGAACGAGTGATGGACCATCCTCGCAAGTAAGAACTCAGGTTTACGCTGATACTGGCGACTACAGGGGATTCTACGAAGCTCTAAAAGCGGTATATGGCTGATCATACCAAATCCCGAGCCCCCTGCGGAGTGCAGACGGGAAAGAACTGCTCACTGAAAAGGACTCAATCCTGAACCGCTGCTCTGAGCACTTCTACACGCTATTCGATGCTAGCCACTCAGTTCAAGAACCAGCGATTGACCGCATCCCACAACAACCAGTGAAAACTGAACTGGATGTGGCACCAACATTACAAGAGACTGAGGATGCCATTAAACAGCTGAAGAGTGGTAAAGCTGCAGGAGTTGATGGCATACCTCCTGAAGTATGAAAGAACGGAGGCCCAACACTGCACACCAAACTCCATGAATTCTTCATCCGCTGCTGGGAGCAGGGTAAACTCCCTCAAGACCTCAAAAATGCAGTCATCATCACCCTGTACAAGAACAAAAGGGAGAAATCAGACTGTTCCAATTATCGTGTCCGCCGCCGGCAAAATCATCGCAAGAGTACTGCTGAATAGACTGGTACCCGCAATAGCTGAAGATCACCTCCCAGAGACCCAGTGTGGCTTCAGAGCCAACTGGGGAACCACAGACATGTTTGTCCTGAGGCAGATTCAGGAGAAGTGCCGGGAGCAAAACAAACATTTCAGAAGGCCATTTTGGTACAACACATCTCTTTGTTCAAGTTTCACTTATTTGATATTGTGAAAGACATTGCTTCTTCAAGTGTGACATACGGCACTTCCTCCTTTATCTGAATAATGGTTTGAGTCATCGGACGTATTTTTTTCTACGCTATAAAAATACTCAGTAGAATTTTTCCACTAACTTAAAAAATTATTCAACCATAATCGAATTCAACCACCACTGACACCTGTCTCAAGGCAAATTAATCTTGCCACAACTTGACAATTGGCAAAAACTGGTCCAATCCGAGTATTTTCCACAGGCACTGAGAGACCACTTGAAATCTTGACTGAACCTGAGCCGGGCCATTGCATCTCTGCGATCCAGTCGTTCAAAGTACCGTATTCTGACCACCACCTTATTATTTCGCTACAATGACCCAGGCCTATCGCAATCAAAACTACCCTGTATTCACACATTCTAGGAAGCATCAATTTTTCAACCGCTGAGCATCTACTCGCCAAATCCCTCTGCATCTTATCCCCTTCACCCAACTCATCAGCTTGAAGCTGATCACCGTTGGACAAACTGGCCCCGCTCAAATTTCGATCTTCATCAAGTAAAATGAAAACTCTCAACGGTTGCGATAAAATCTTGCCCACGTAATCCTTGGCGTATGTCATCCTCGGATAGATTCCCTCGCTTCCCTTCACTCCCTCCACTGACTTGTTTTCACCAGCAAGATTTCTTACCTCTACCACCGTACATTTACTTTCAGTTATCCACTGTATATTTCTTCACTCTTGTCACCCTGTACTACAGCGCGTGGTAGAACACTGCAGTGTGAATCACAACCTCCTAAATATGCCAAGGACTAGGACCATCACTGCTGGGTGTTGTTTCTCTGTGGCAGCTGCCTCCCTCTGGAAAGCAATCCTGCTGGATATTCGCAGCAGCGTTCAATCTACACATATTTTTTTAAGAGACTTAAAGGCTTTCCCTTTTTGCCTGGCTTTTGGCTCTTTGCCTCAGAGTCACGATTAATTATGTCTGTGAAATGTTGTGTGCACAATGTTGCATTATTATTACGGATGCATTGGAAACAATTGGGTAAATATAAGTCGCCAATTTGAAGAAAGTGTATTGTTTATAGTGTTCTTATCTGGAAAATTGTCTACATTTTGCTCTTTTTTTTACACCAAAACTAAAAAAGGCATGATGCAAAATAGAATGAGTTTAATAGCACGGAGGATTGAATGTCATTGTTTTAATATTTGTGTTGCTGCTTGGGGGGGGGGGTTAACAGGGTGCCAACGGTATAGTAAACACTGCTCCAGCCGTGGTGGAAAGTGTCAGTACGCTGGCGACACTTGCAATGGCGAATACGTAAACGGTGGTGAATGCCCTGGAGGAGACAACTGTCAGTGCTGCCTCCGTGAGTATCCACAAGCCTGCATTCATGCATGGCACACAACACTAAGTGAATGAGCAGATAATAGATTGGTCTTAATGGGACAGATTGAAATGAAACAGCTCCCACTAATTCAGAATAACCCCCCTATTTGCTACTTTCATCTTCCCATTTATTGTTATGATGTATTTTAAGTACCGTATTGAGTTGTGTTGCTTGATTTCAAGTTCATTTGTTTAACCAGGTAAGAAGTCATCTCTTGATTCTGCAGAGAAGTTTTTTTCTGCTGCCTCATATATCTGAAGCTAAATAAAGGGACCAGGGGCCCTGACCACCCCTACGTGCTCACTTATTTGATATTGTGAAAGACATTGCTTCTTCAAGTGTGACATACGGCACTTCCTCCTTTATCTGAATAATGGTTTGAGTCATCGGACGTAATTTCTTCTATGTGATAAAAATACCGAGTAGAATTTTTCCACTAACTTGAAAAATTATCCAACCAAAATCGAAGTCAACCACCACTGACAGCTGTCTCCAGGCAATTGAATCTTGCCACAACTTGACAATCTGCAAAAACTGGTCCAATCCGAGTATCTTCCACAGGCACTGAGAGACCACTTGATATCTTGACTGAACCTAACCCGGGCCATTTCCTCTCTGCGATCCAGTCGTTCCAAGTACCATATTCTGGCCACCACCTTATCGTAATTTCGCTACAATGACCCAGGCCTATCGCAATCAAAACTACCCTCTATTCACGCATTCTAAGAAGCATCAATTTTCCAACCGTTGAGCATCTACTCGCCAAATCCCTCTGCATCTTATCTCCTTCACCCAACCCAGGTGTCTGCGCTCATCAGCTTGAAGCTGATCGCCGTTGGACAAATTGGCCCCTTTACACCATTGGTACCTCATTTGCCAGTAAAAAATATGATAATTGGTTTTTTATCCTTTTATCTGGCAACAAAACTGACACCTTTTTTACGAGGAGTCATGTTTGCATAGACCACAATACCATGTGAAACTAGCTCTAAGAAAAGCTGTCTCGGGTGTGGACCAATCAACTTCAAGGACAGTACATACATTATCAGAGTTATGTTTTTGTGTTTGCATTATGACTGCAGGTATTGTGGTCTATGCAAACATGACTCCTCTAAACAATTATCAAACTGGCCCCTCTCAAATCTCGATCTTCATCTTCATCAAGTAACATGAAAACTCTCAATGGTTGCGATAAAATTTTGCCCACGTAATCCTTGGCATATGTCATCCTCGGATATATTGCATCGCTTCCCTTCACTCCCTCCACTGACTTTTTTTCACCAGCAAGGTCAGCTACAAGATTTCTTACCTCTGCCGCCGTATTCTGTGGTCCACTGTATATTTCTTCACTCCTGTCACCCTGTACTACAGTGCATAATAGAACACTGCAGTGTGAATCACAACCTCCTAAATATGCCAAGGACTAGGACCATCACTGCTAGGTGTTGTTTCTCTGTGGCAGCCGCCTCCCTCTGGAAAGCAATCCTGCTGGATATTCGCAGCAGCGTTCAATCTACACATTTTTTTAAGAGACTTAAAGGCTTTCCATTTTTTGCCTGACTTTTGAGTAACACCGGGCTTGGCTCTGTGCCTCAGTCACGATCAAATTTTTCTGTGAAATGTTGTGTGCACAGTGTTGCATTATTGTTATGGATGCATTGGAAACAATTGGGAAAAAGTCAGTCGCCAACTTGAAAAAAGTTTATTGTTTGATGACAAAGTGTTCTTATCTGGAAAATTGTCTACATTTAGCTATTTTTTTTACACCAAAACTAAAAAAGGCATGATGCAAAATAGACTGAAGTTTAATAGCACGGAGGATTGAATGTCATTGTTTTAATATTTGTGTTGCTGCTTGGGGGGGGGGGGTAACAGGGTGCAAACAGTATAGTAAACAGTGCTCCAGCCGTGGTGGAAAGTGTCAGTACGCTGGCGGCACATGCAATGGCGGATATGTCAAGGATAAATGCCTTGAAAAAGACAACTGTCAGTGCTGCCTCCGTGAGTATCCACAAGCCTGCATTCATGCATGGCACACAACACTAAGTGAATGAGCAGATAATAGATTGGTCTTAATGGGACAGATTGAAATGAAACAGCTCCCATTTACTAATTCAGAATAACCCCCCTATTTGCTACTTCATCTTCCCATTTATTGTTATGATGTATTTTAAGCACCGTATTGAGTTGTGTTGCTTGATTTCAAGTTTATTTGTTTAACCAGGTGGGAATTCATCTCTTGATTCTGCAGAGAAGCTTTCTTCTGCTGTCTCATATATTTGAAAGCTAAATAAAGGGACCAAGGGCCCTGACCACCCCTACGTTATCGCGGAGTTTAGGTAAATTTTCTTGCGTATATCCCTTAAGGAATCGGAGATTGGACAAGTTTTTACCTATGCAAATTATAGAATGGCATAGGCCGTTTGGTACTCAGGCTCCAGGTCTCTACATTTATTGAGCTCAGCAGTCTCCGGAATGTGATAATTGAAAAGTTTTTTTTATGGAACAGAGGTGCCTTGGGTGGTGTAATTGAGAAATATTTTTAGATTCAGAGCAAATGAGATGTAATTTTGCTGTAATTTAGGATGCGTGGATGTAGCAAGTGTGATATTAATAGTATATGAATTTAACCAATTGCTATGCTTTAAGGGTGAACTAATGAGGGATTAAAAGTGACATTATGGGTATATGTTCTGCTTGTCAACATATTGGAGGCTGGGCAATGCTCCTCTCACGCCGGGTGACTGTGGCTGACCGATGTCTCCCCTTTCACGTGATGGGACTGCATGTAGCCTGTAAGCAGGGTGGAAAGTGTCAGGCGCTTGGTGAGATGTGTCAGGAAAAGAACAACCCGAACGTGACATGCAACGGAAAATACTACCCGGACATGTGCTCCGTGGATGCAGAAAACTGTCAGTGCTGCATTGGTGAGTTATAAATAAGTCTGAATTATTACATTAAACACAGCACTAAGTCATACGACCTGAGAATACTTTGGTCTATTCTTAAAATGTACTGAGAGTCAATTTAGCATTCTATACTGAGGGCTGAATTGGAAACAATTGGCATAATTTAATGTACATGTATTCTAGACTCATGCAACACCATTATTTTTAATAAAAGAAATACAATGAGTTGTGGACTGTAAAATGAATGTTAGTCTGATATGACAGATATTCTTTCCAAGCAAAATGATACATTTTTTTCTTTTTTACATCGGGACTAAAATAACTCTATGCTAAATATTATATCCAAAATGTGGAATTAGTGTGTTTTGTATCTGTACTTGCCACATAGCTATGGTTACGTATGCATCTGTGCTTTAAGCAAAAGGGCCATTTTTGCGTGATTCATAATGTGAAGGACAAACCATTTATCTCGAGTAAATTTGGCAGGTTGTTTGTCTCTCAGGATGAGGCCCTCCACTAATTATGATTACATTTGTTTGGGTAGTTATTGCCACAGACTATTTTAAAAAGCAATGATATTGATTCGATTGAAAATCACGATGTTTATATGCGCATGTCTAGTGCCAAAATTGCAAAAAATTAATCATAGCCTCCTCTATAAAAGCCGATCTTGACACCGCTAGTACCAGTCATCAGCAAGTCCAATTAGCTACAGATCCTCCTGTACCGCTTCAGCCCATTTCTTTTCTAGCCATGCCATGCCTGTCTAGCGCACTCTATCCGTCCAAATGGAAGCTGCTTGAGCATATGGGCTACACACGTACAGTGCAAAAGAGGTTCAGCATACATACATGAGCCAGCCAATGCAGCCTCGCCTGCCAGAAGAGCTCACTGACAGGACTGTGTCCAGATCTTTCAAGGATGTTAGCTCTTCACACCATAAAGTCTGGTTAAACCCAGGATTGTTCATAGGCAAGCCAGCCTGAATGTTTAGAAACGGTGCAGACGTTAATTTACCCTTTAAGAATTATTTTAACATCACCAATTCCACAATGATACAGGATGGAGTCGTAGATAGCCAATTCTGATGTAATTTGTGTAATGAGAGAGAACAATGGGTCGGGGGACTGAGTCATAGGTCCCAAACTGGAGACTCAGAATTTACAGTCTGTGTAACACAAAAAAGAATCCTCTTTCATAACATAAAGGAAATAATGTAATGCTAATTTAATATTTCTACTTTTGCTGGGTGCTAACAGAATGCAAACAGAATACAAACTGTTCGATATTTGGTGGAGTATGCCAGTACGTTGGTGAGAAATGCAGAGGAACGTACTTCCCATACCAGTGCTCTGAAAAACTCCACTGTCAGTGCTGCGTCCGTGAGTATCTTCAAGTCTGCATTCATGACGACAGATTTGCCCAACATCTTCTATCAGCTTGCTGTGCAGACATGTATAAACCAGTGGCTCACCTCTTTAACAGTGGGGACAACAGCGTCAGTAACATGTTGGTAGTGTCTTGATTTATGGTGGGAATGAGACCATAAAAAGTACACAAGTCGGCAGGCCTACGTGAACACTCGTCATTCACTTAAAACATAGCTTTATTATTGAGTGCTAGACAAACCATATCCCTTTGTAAGTTCATATATGGTGTGCCTACTAATGGAATGCACATTATTTAATTAACACATTTTATTTCTCAGTAAAATTGGACAGCAAGAGATAAAAATACACTCATATAAAACAAATGTATGTTCCTCTACCCTGATAATTGGTTCTTTACCCTTCTATCTGGCAACAAAACTGACACCTTTTTACAAGGAGTCATGTTTGCATAGACCGCAATACCTGCAGTCATAAATACAAGCAAAAGACATAACTCTGATAATGTGCACTGTCCTTGAAGTTGATTGGTCCACACCCGAGACAGCTTTCCTTCGAGCCTAGTCTCACATGGGTTGGACCAGAAGACGCCAAAAGGCGCACAACTCAAAGACAATGCACCATCAGAGTATGAGAGCTCGAGGCAAACATCTACACTATGGGGACCTCATTTGCCAGTAAAAATATGATAATTGGTTCTTTACCCTTCTATCTGGCAACAAAACGGACACCTTTTTACAAGGAGTCATGTTTGCATAGACCGCAATACCTGGAAACAATTGGGAAAAAGTAAGTCGCCAACTTGAAAAAAGTTTATTGTTTGATGACAAAGTGTTCTTATCTGGAAAATTGTCTACATTTAGCTATTTTTTTTACACCAAAACTAAAAAAGGCATGATGCAAAATAGACTGAAGTTTAATAGCACGGAGGATTGAATGTCATTGTTTTAATATTTGTGTTGCTGCTTGGGGGGGGGGGGGGGAACAGGGTGCAAACAGTATAGTAAACAGTGCTCCAGCCGTGGTGGAAAGTGTCAGTACGCTGGCGGCACATGCAATGGCGGATATGTCAAGGATAAATGCCTTGAAAAAGACAACTGTCAGTGCTGCCTCCGTGAGTATCCACAAGCCTGCATTCATGCATGGCACACAACACTAAGTGAATGAGCAGATAATAGATTGGTCTTAATGGGACAGATTGAAATGAAACAGCTCCCATTTACTAATTCAGAATAACCCCCCTATTTGCTACTTCATCTTCCCATTTATTGTTATGATGTATTTTAAGCACCGTATTGAGTTGTGTTGCTTGATTTCAAGTTTATTTGTTTAACCAGGTGGGAATTCATCTCTTGATTCTGCAGAGAAGCTTTCTTCTGCTGTCTCATATATTTGAAAGCTAAATAAAGGGACCAAGGGCCCTGACCACCCCTACGTTATCGCGGAGTTTAGGTAAATTTTCTTGCGTATATCCCTTAAGGAATCGGAGATTGGACAAGTTTTTACCTATGCAAATTATAGAATGGCATAGGCCGTTTGGTACTCAGGCTCCAGGTCTCTACATTTATTGAGCTCAGCAGTCTCCGGAATGTGATAATTGAAAAGTTTTTTTTATGGAACAGAGGTGCCTTGGGTGGTGTAATTGAGAAATATTTTTAGATTCAGAGCAAATGAGATGTAATTTTGCTGTAATTTAGGATGCGTGGATGTAGCAAGTGTGATATTAATAGTATATGAATTTAACCAATTGCTATGCTTTAAGGGTGAACTAATGAGGGATTAAAAGTGACATTATGGGTATATGTTCTGCTTGTCAACATATTGGAGGCTGGGCAATGCTCCTCTCACGCCGGGTGACTGTGGCTGACCGATGTCTCCCCTTTCACGTGATGGGACTGCATGTAGCCTGTAAGCAGGGTGGAAAGTGTCAGGCGCTTGGTGAGATGTGTCAGGAAAAGAACAACCCGAACGTGACATGCAACGGAAAATACTACCCGGACATGTGCTCCGTGGATGCAGAAAACTGTCAGTGCTGCATTGGTGAGTTATAAATAAGTCTGAATTATTACATTAAACACAGCACTAAGTCATATGACCTGAGAATACTTTGGTCTATTCTTAAAATGTACTGAGAGTCAATTTAGCATTCTATACTGAGGGCTGAATTGGAAACAATTGGCATAATTTAATGTACATGTATTCTAGACTCATGCAACACCATTATTTTTAATAAAAGAAATACAATGAGTTGTGGACTGTAAAATGAATGTTAGTCTGATATGACAGATATTCTTTCCAAGCAAAATGATACATTTTTTTCTTTTTTACATCGGGACTAAAATAACTCTATGCTAAATATTATATCCAAAATGTGGAATTAGTGTGTTTTGTATCTGTACTTGCCACATAGCTATGGTTACGTATGCATCTGTGCTTTAAGCAAAAGGGCCATTTTTGCGTGATTCATAATGTGAAGGACAAACCATTTATCTCGAGTAAATTTGGCAGGTTGTTTGTCTCTCAGGATGAGGCCCTCCACTAATTATGATTACATTTGTTTGGGTAGTTATTGCCACAGACTATTTTAAAAAGCAATGATATTGATTCGATTGAAAATCACGATGTTTATATGCGCATGTCTAGTGCCAAAATTGCAAAAAATTAATCATAGCCTCCTCTATAAAAGCCGATCTTGACACCGCTAGTACCAGTCATCAGCAAGTCCAATTAGCTACAGATCCTCCTGTACCGCTTCAGCCCATTTCTTTTCTAGCCATGCCATGCCTGTCTAGCGCACTCTATCCGTCCAAATGGAAGCTGCTTGAGCATATGGGCTACACACGTACAGTGCAAAAGAGGTTCAGCATACATACATGAGCCAGCCAATGCAGCCTCGCCTGCCAGAAGAGCTCACTGACAGGACTGTGTCCAGATCTTTCAAGGATGTTAGCTCTTCACACCATAAAGTCTGGTTAAACCCAGGATTGTTCATAGGCAAGCCAGCCTGAATGTTTAGAAACGGTGCAGACGTTAATTTACCCTTTAAGAATTATTTTAACATCACCAATTCCACAATGATACAGGATGGAGTCGTAGATAGCCAATTCTGATGTAATTTGTGTAATGAGAGAGAACAATGGGTCGGGGGACTGAGTCATAGGTCCCAAACTGGAGACTCAGAATTTACAGTCTGTGTAACACAAAAAAGAATCCTCTTTCATAACATAAAGGAAATAATGTAATGCTAATTTAATATTTCTACTTTTGCTGGGTGCTAACAGAATGCAAACAGAATACAAACTGTTCGATATTTGGTGGAGTATGCCAGTACGTTGGTGAGAAATGCAGAGGAACGTACTTCCCATACCAGTGCTCTGAAAAACTCCACTGTCAGTGCTGCGTCCGTGAGTATCTTCAAGTCTGCATTCATGACGACAGATTTGCCCAACATCTTCTATCAGCTTGCTGTGCAGACATGTATAAACCAGTGGCTCACCTCTTTAACAGTGGGGACAACAGCGTCAGTAACATGTTGGTAGTGTCTTGATTTATGGTGGGAATGAGACCATAAAAAGTACACAAGTCGGCAGGCCTACGTGAACACTCGTCATTCACTTAAAACATAGCTTTATTATTGAGTGCTAGACAAACCATATCCCTTTGTAAGTTCATATATGGTGTGCCTACTAATGGAATGCACATTATTTAATTAACACATTTTATTTCTCAGTAAAATTGGACAGCAAGAGATAAAAATACACTCATATAAAACAAATGTATGTTCCTCTACCCTGATAATTGGTTCTTTACCCTTCTATCTGGCAACAAAACTGACACCTTTTTACAAGGAGTCATGTTTGCATAGACCGCAATACCTGCAGTCATAAATACAAGCAAAAGACATAACTCTGATAATGTGCACTGTCCTTGAAGTTGATTGGTCCACACCCGAGACAGCTTTCCTTCGAGCCTAGTCTCACATGGGTTGGACCAGAAGACGCCAAAAGGCGCACAACTCAAAGACAATGCACCATCAGAGTATGAGAGCTCGAGGCAAACATCTACACTATGGGGACCTCATTTGCCAGTAAAAATATGATAATTGGTTCTTTACCCTTCTATCTGGCAACAAAACGGACACCTTTTTACAAGGAGTCATGTTTGCATAGACCGCAATACCTGCAGTCATAAATACAAACAAAAGACATAACTCTGATAATGCAGGTATTGCGGTCTATGCAAACATGACTCCTTGTAAAAAGGTGTCAGTTTTGTTGCCAGATAGAAGGGTAAATAACCAATTATCATATTTTTACTGGCAAATGAGGTCCCCATAGTGTAGATGTTTGCCCCGAGCTCTCATACTCTGATGGTGCATTGTCTTTGAGTTGTGCGCCTTTTGGCGTCTTCTGGTCCAACCCATGTGAGACTAGGCTCGAAGGAAAGCTGTCTCGGGTGTGGACCAATCAACTTCAAGGACAGTGCACATTATCAGAGTTATGTCTTTTGTTTGTATTTATGACTGCAGGTATTGCGGTCTATGCAAACATGACTCCTTGTAAAAAGGTGTCAGTTTTGTTGCCAGATAGAAGGGTAAAGAACCAATTATCATATTTTTACTGGCAAATGAGGTCCCCATAGTGTAGATGTTTGCCCCGAGCTCTCATACTCTGATGGTGCATTGTCTTTGAGTTGTGCGTCTTCTGGTCCAACCCATGTGAGACTAGGCTCGAAGGAAAGCTGTCTCGGGTGTGGACCAATCAACTTCAAGGACAGTGCACATTATCAGAGTTATGTCTTTTGTTTGTATTTATGACTGCAGGTATTGCGGTCTATGCAAACATGACTCCTTGTAAAAAGGTGTCAGTTTTGTTGCCAGATAGAAGGGTAAAGAACCAATTATCATATTTTTACTGGCAAATGAGGTCCCCATAGTGTAGATGTTTGCCCCGAGCTCTCATACTCTGATGGTGCATTGTCTTTGAGTTGTG